AGAGCTCCTGGGGAGCTGGGTCTGGAGAGAGAAGCGCCTCCTGGGCAGACAGGCCCAGGGAAGCCCCAGGAAGAGCGCAGTCCCTGGGCAGGCTGGTGGGAGCAAGCCCCTGGGTGCGCCTGGCACGCCTTCCCAGCACTGGGCATGGGAGTGGCCTTCTGAGGGGAGACTCCACAGGGTCTCTGTGCAACATGTGGAACCCATGGTGGCCCTGCTCCACCACGGCTCTGGCTTCCAGTTTGCTTCCGAGGGTTGTTAAAGTGGGGACTTCAATCTGTTAAGATCAGTAGAGTTTGGGATTCTGTTAACTGAAACTGTTTTCCTCTTCCTCCAAAATTACCCACCTAAAATCACAGCAGGGAGGGTGGGTTAGCTCCCCAGGCCCAGTCCTGGGACTTCTCCAGGGATGCCCTGGTCTTCTGTTCTCCCAGCTCTCACTGAGCCCATCTTTGCCCACCTTCCAAAAAGACCTTAGACTTTCTCTGTCTCAGCCGGAGGCAATCCTTTGATCGCCATTTATGCAAGCTTCTGTGTGCAGCAAAGTTGTTCTTTTAGAATTTTCCTCCAGAACAATAGTTTTCCATGGCAATTTCTATACACAAGGGATTTCAGGAATTTCTGGGGGTTGCCTGGAGATCAGGGCAGGGACTGCACATTAGATATGACGTGTTTGGAGAGAAGTCCACAGCAAAAGCCCAATGGCAAGGGTCCCCTGCACCAGGGTTTCGCCAGCTTTGGTGCACAATAGGAATACCAGGCAGTGGTGTCAGCTGACTTTGGGCCCCATCCTTGGGGCTGTGGGATAGCCCAAAAATCTGCATTTCTAACAAGTCCCTCAGAGATGCTGATGCTGGCCTGGGCTCCTAGATGCTAAGGGCCTGCCGTTACTTTTCCACAAGATTTCTCACAAAATGATCTTAAACTGACAGCACTGAGATTATGAAGTTAAAATCAGAATCTTTTCAACTCCGTCACTCAGCTCTCATGCTACTGTTCTGCCTTTGTGTCTACAAGCAAACTAATTGTGTGTGGGGTCACATACAAGTACATACATGCATACGTATGCACCCATATGTAGAAAAGTTCTTCCCCCAAAGAAAAATTTTTAGACTTTTGGTAATCACCCCTGGGAAACACTTCCCCAAGTGGAGTCAATATTTGCAATTTCTAAGACAATTCTGAGAATATTTTACAGTCTATTCACTGTGAATAATACTTAAATAATGCTTAAATATGCCAGTGCACTGGCAGTAAAAATTCACTGGCATAGGAGAAACTAGGCTGCTCTCCAAGGACCGCGGTGAAGGGGCCCAGGCATGTGGAATACACACACCCTAGCACGGCATCAGGTCGAGGAGCCACGGAGCGATGGGCATGCCTTCTCCATTTTTATTTATTTTTGACATTTATAATGAAAAATAATCCCAACATGCCCAACTGGGCCCCCATGGAAGTGGACTTCCTGTCTGAGCAGGCCCAGCTCAGGGAGTCTGGGGCGTCCAGCAAGAGAGCAGGGACCTCACTTATCCACAGGCTCCTCTTGTCTGCAGGACTTTGGAGTCTGCTCTGGCCTCTCCTTATCTCCTGCTCACCTGTCCCCAGGAACCCAACATGGAAAGGCTCCACAGGGCAGGGGAAGGAAGGACTAGCCCGGGGCCAAGGAAGAGCTCACTCTGGGTTTCCTTTGAACCATATTGTACTGTTAATTGACATGACTGCAGAACAACTTCTCTGTGCCTGGCACACCTCACACTGAAGACACTGAAACAAACCTGCTTAAACTCCCACTCCCTGGCCTGTGCCCAGATGTTTACTCCTGAGCTCTGGAGTGGCTTCAGGGTGCAGGTGAGGGTTATGCTTCAAGAGATGCTCTTTCCAGTGAGTCCAGTGCCACAGGGGAACAGACGGGCCTCAGTCGGGGCTCCTAGGTCTGCCCAGGAGGAGCATCTGGGGCTTGCGACAATCCCTGACTCTCTCCTCAATTTTCCTCTAACTCCTGTCAGACCAGGATTTCCTTCCTGACCCTCTGAGGGAGCTCCTCCACTGTCCATCAGACACCACGCTTCCCCGTGTGCCAGCCACCTGTCACCTCATCTGCAGCGGAAATGACCAGGACTAAAAGTTAAGCACAAAAACCCACACTTAATTCTTGCACAATGTCTTTTTGTCAAGGGGATTTCCTGGGGTCCTTAATCAGAGACTGTCGCTCTGATGTGGTTTGTGTACTCAAGATCCTGGGCTCTGTGTGCACCTAGACATGGGTATTGGGGCCTGGGGCGTGGGTTCCCGCCCTTGGGTGTCAGACGTGGGTGGCTACACCGTTCTCCCTACCTCTCCTCCCTTACACTGGTCTTCCTGG